CATAATATGTTCGGGCTCGAACTGTTATAGATAATGAAACTACTTCAAAAAACCTAACAAACGTGACAACTCAATGGAAACTACTAGTAACTAACTTATTCCATTTTTGTGCATGCGCTTATATTATGTTCCTGTAACATCTCCCTTGTTTTTATTTAAAAAAAAGACATAATTTTGTGCTGTATGTATATGCTCGTAAAGAATCATCTTTTGCGTTTAGATTAGTAAAAACTATTAAATAAAATTTGATAGTTTGTATGAAACAACATGTCAGCAGCAATCAACTTCAATATTTGTTGGAGAGCTGAAGACTGATATGAACTTATTTATTATTTTTGAAATTTTATGGATTGAAATTGAACTATTTATGTTTTCAATCTGACAAGAGTCTGGTAATGGAGTCCTGGAATGATTATTTCATGACGAATAGGCTACTTTAGAGACTACCTATATGTTCCGGGTGGTCTCTTGGCATTTTTTTTAGCAAGGCCTGGCCGCAAGCCATCGCTACTTATAAGCCATGTGTCACATTTCTTTATGCTTGTGACTCAGAGCTGTGTCTTTCTGTTTAGTTTCAAATTTACTCTCATGCTCGAGTAAGAAAGGCTTGTAGGCGTGTCCAATTTAACAGCAAGTGCGATCCTTGTCAGTGTCACCACTCCCGTAGATAACAGAAGTCGTCTGCTACCACGTCCACTCCGTATAAGTCTTCCAATACAGTATCTTGTGTGGTTTTTGTTGCTGCTAGCCAGTCGACATTCTTTTCTACCAGTAACGACAATACTGGACTCAGGGTTACCGGAACGCCGCCCTCAGCGTCGTGTGCAAGGCACAACTCAAACAAACCTTGTAGTTATTAATATTTTTGCTATATTTTTGGGTTAACTTGCATACGTCATAAGATTACCTCACCTTTTCCTGGTAAAGCAAACTTTCCCGGCGTGCGTTTTTCGTGGATAAACACCACTGCTTTGCACATAAATGCCTTGCGAAGCTAGGGTTACAAGAGCCGCATTGTTAGCATTGTATAATACTTTAAACAAGGTACTTCTGCAACTTAATTATTCTTATTTTTCCGTATTTTAATTTATTTCTTTCGAAAGAAATATTGCACTGTCTACTTAGGCCTAGTCTTACTAATAGGCCTATAATAATAATATAGCCTCATCGTCCCCCGCTACACAGTACATCAGTAGGCTAGGCAACAGAACGTGATGTGCCATCCTTCCCAAGTTTTCATGTAACATTTGCATATTGTTGGCTAACGAACTTATGCTTACCGTCCCCCTCCCCCACGCTACAGTACAGACGTATATGGTTAGCCATCGGGGCCATAATGAAAGCGCCGTAATCACAATGAAAGCGCCGTTATCTTCATAAAAAGCGCTGACGTAATGCCATTCATTTTCAACCAATCACAGGTTTAGGATGACGCCAACAGGGTCACAATGAAAGCGCCATTAACTTGTTACCAAAAAAAAAAAAAGCACCGTGATCATAATAAAAGCGCCAACATAGCCATCGTATGCTAGGCAACAGAACGTGATATTGCACCTTTCTTCCCAGGTGTTCATGTAACATTTGCATATTGTTAGCTAACCAGCTGCGTGTATTCCTTTGTGAAAATTGCTATGTTCTCACACGGCTGCTAACGGTTAGCAAGATCCGGATCCTGCTAACCGTTAGCTGCCGTGCGTCCATACGAGAAAATCCCGATCCGGATACCAAAAGTATGATGATCGAATCACTGGCCAATAAGAACTGGAAATTGTAAACGCTTACGTGTGATTGGTTGATGATAAAAACGCGCTCAACTTGCTAACCGATAGCGCTTGCTAACCGCTAGCGGGATCCGGATGCTGCTAACGGTTAACCCTTACCAATCGGGCGTTCTCACACAGGTGCTAACAGTTAGCGCTAACGGTTAGCGTCCGATCCGGATACTAGGGCTCTCGTTAGAACCAGGCTAGTAAATACTTTCACAAAGCATTTGCATCTCATCTTGGCTCATGAGCACCCTACTTCGAAGTAATTGTCTTCATATTGCTAATTAATCACCGTAATGTAGCTTACACTTATGCATGGAGTAACTGGAGTACTTAAAATGTACAATAATCATTTCACTACGCGACAAACCCCGAACTTTATTCATGTATTACATAAATATTTTCATGTTGCTGTACTCCAACATCACTGGTGCATGGTAACAACCGACTGCAGACTATTTCCGGTTACACATTACTCTCCATAACGCAGCACCTCCTAGTTCTGTCACCTCTGGGTTTTAAAATTAGTTACTACCTTCCTCGACAATTTTAACACTTTTGCTTTGGCAAGCTGCGGCGGACAAAGTAGGCCCTACATGGACGATGTGTTGAAAATAGAATTTCACATTGCAAAGCAAAACACCATTACTATATGACACAAATGAATAACTGTGATCAACGTACACTTTTTATGCTCACCAATGAGCTACAATTTCGAAACCGAAGCGTATCCTTCCAATTTATGACAAATTGTGTGATCTTGTGGAGAACTTTGCAGGTTTTTCATTAGTAAAATTCGAAAACTACAAAACAAGATTTATAAACATCCATCACTTCTTTCATTAGCTTTACATGAATCGTGTAAAAGTAATTATACCCAATGGGATACTATATCATCTGCTGATGTCTTGAGCGTAGTTAAGGCATCTTCGGGAAAGTCTTGTGAGTTTGATCCTCTGCACACGGTCCTAATCAAGTCCAATATTATTAAATTTTTGCCTACAATTACAAAAATTGTCAATGACTCATTATCTACTGGAGAATTCCATCATCTCTTAAAGTTGCGAAGTATCACCTTTAATCGAAAAGTTGACACTCGATAATCAGACGCTGTCGAACTATCAGTAACCTGTCTCTTATACACATCTAGATGTGTATAAGAGACAGACCCTAGATTGTAAGTCACCCTGAAGTGCAAGATCAGTGACCCCATGACAAACCCTTCTGTATATAAACACATCATCAGCATATTGAACTATTGAAGATTAAGGTGCAAATCATTATCATACATGACAAGAGTAAAGGGCCCAGCACTGAACCTTGAGGGACACCAGATTTAACTGGGAGCCAACTAGAGACCTTTCCCTTATAAACAACTAGCTGGAACCTCTTTGACAAGAAAGATTCAATCTAGTTCAGTGCTGAGCCCCTTATATTAAATGTATTGTTAAAGTTTACTTATCAAAATCTTATGGTCATTTGAGTCGAAAACGCGACTGAAGTCTAAGGAGACCATCAACAGCATAAGCTAAGTTATCATTACAGTGATCAATCAAACATTTAACAATCTTTTCAATGATCCTACAAACTACAACATATTCTTTCATCATCATTACACATTGAGGCCCTTTTTTTTTAGATCAAACGATCTATCTTAAATTTTCTTTCTTGAGTTTGGGACTATTAGGCCTATGTGTTTAAATAACTTAGAAGGCTAACCCTAAAAAATCCTATAAAATGCGCGCGAAGCGCGCAAAATATTTTGTTTTTAATTCTAATTTCGTCGGAATTGATTGAAACTCCCTAAAATGTGCAATTTTTAGAGGAAATTGGCCTACTTAAACAAGAAATGCGGGAAAGCGCGCGAAATTTGAGATTTTTAGGCACTTTCAGGGGAAATTGCATCTTCAAGGGGTGGGAAAAGATTTTCCACAGAGGGATATTTACCCTTGTCCGCCGGTGGTTACGCCACTGTAGAGAATATCTGACGGCTTAGATCAAAGGAGTTATAAAAAAAAATCCTAAAAAATGTGCGCGAAGCGCTCAAAAATTTTGTGTTTTTAATTCTAATTTCGTCGGAATTGATCAAAACTCCTTAAAATGTGCAATTTCTAGAGGAAATCGGCCTACCTTAAAAAGGAATGTGCGCGAAGCGCGCGAAATTTGAGATTTTTAGGCACTTTCAGAGGGAAAAGGGCATCTTCAAGGGGTGGAGAAAGATTTTCCACAGATGGATATTTCTCCTTGTCCCCCGGTGGCTACGCCACTGTGGAGAATATCTAGCAGCTTAGATCAAAGGAGGTATGGACACTTGAAGTGGAGCAGGGATATCTTCCTTTCTTCCTTTTTATTCTTATCTTTATTTTTCTCTTCTCTTTTTCTTTTCATTTTTCCTTTCCTTTTCTTTTCCCCTTCTTTCACTTTCCCTCCCTATCCCCTCTTTCTTTTCTCTTATTACCCAGCCCGGTAGGACGGCTTGGTCAGCCCAGTAAAAAACGTCAGGGATCCACGGTCAGCCTGGTAACAACCCCCTGTTACGCCACTGTCTTCCGCCTGTTACGCCACTGGGCTTCCCATTCAACAACGTATTGCAATAAGATTCCTTTACCTAAAAGGTTTTGAATGGTTTTGCATCTGGTTAGGCTGACTTCATTCAATATTACATTCCACCTCGTTCATTTCGTTCTTCTGATAAATACCTTCTCCGCAATCTAAAACCGTCACTAAAAACGTATGGCGAAAGATCGTTTACCAGTGCCGTAGCCAGTACGGTTGGTCAGGTTTTAAGGTGACCACTTTTCGCGTATACGGTGAGCAAATCTTGTGATGTTTTTACATTTTGATATAATCTTTGGAGCTTTATCCCCTTTAGCAATCCACTAGCTTTCCCTTATTCTATGGTGTGAAACTGTAATGCTTTTACTATTAGGTACGGTAATCTTCGGAGTGATATCCCTTTAGCAATTATGTTGGTGCTTTATTTTCGAGCCAGTGCAATATTTTATGGATTGACGCTTATTAATGTACTTAAATAAATATGTTTGCTTCTTATTTTTTTCTGTTTTATAAATATAATACATTCGAGTTCGAGTTTCATAATTTCTTACAATACACAAACATTTTAAGACTAATATACATGATTATTACTGTAAAGGTTGTCCACCCCTCGGGCGCTTTGAGACTATACAGTATAACGCACTATATAAATCAAATTACAAACACATTATGTTTCAGATTGAGATTTCATGGAGAATATCATGGCGGCGATCATACAGTGGCCTATACTGCGATGATGGCACGATAGCAAATGGTGCGTTAGTGTCAGGACAGGGGCAACTAATATGTGACATCTCGTGTTCGAATAGAGTTGGCCTAAGCTTCTATTGTACCGACTTTAGTGTGGGAGAAGACTGGACATCTGGAGTCAACACCGTTACATTTGATGCAGGAACTCCTTCGTTCGAAATGAGGTAGGCCAATTACCACAGTCAAGAATCACGCTTGAATTCTTAAAACGAACAAGTCCTGTCCTGTTGAGCTTAAGCTAGCTGTAATTTAAAAATACTCCCGCCGGATCAGGGTATTATTATGTTGTATTAATTGTGATAAAATCAAAAATAAAATCCTCAAATAATATGTCAAGCAAACAGAATATGAAAAGAAAAAAATAACAGAATCCTTGCAAATTAATTTCACCTCTTTTTCAATTCAAACTCATCAATTAATTGATATGGAATTAACGTAATCTAATGTATACATGAGAAAACTACGTGAAGTACAAGATAATATAAAATAGTTACACAAACCAACGTAAACAAACAACTTTAAAAAAAAAACTAAATATTATTAATAATAGTTAATCATTAATAAATAATTTAATATTAAATTAGCTGGGACAAATGTTGATCAACAGAAACATTTGGAATATCCATAACATAATACTATTTGCGCTTGTTTCTCTGATAAGG